GGGGGGTTCAATTGTGCCAGTATTCCATTACAGAAACAAAAGAGTGCTGTGTTATTGGTGAACGTTTTACGTCCAATTTTGATGCAATTTAAATCTTTTAAGTGGCAGCCTTTTTCAACAGTCAGGCACTCGTCAAAATAATTAAATCGAAGAAATCGACATTTTTTTCCTCCTGTTGGACAATATTTATCGATTTTTCCCCGCTCGACACCATTTATTTCAATTTAAAAACACATTTCTATGCGGATTTTACTGGAAAACGATAATCAAAGGCAAAAATAAAATAAAATAAAATAAAATAAAATAAAGTGCAGTTTTCAAGGATTTGTAAGTCTTAAAACTTTGGCGGTAATTTTCTCGCTGATTTAACTTCTGACATTAATAATAATAATAATAGATAGCATTTGTATAGCGCAAATCCACGCTCAACAGCAGGCTCTATGCGCTTTACACTATATGGCGACCCCATCTCCTTCTCAATAGCAAATACATGTATCCGGACTTCTACTTCAGATAGAAGGGAATAAAAAAAAAATCAAAATCAAAGAAAGTGAACGGAGAGAATTTTAAGGTTAACAACTACATATGCCCAGAAATTAACGGGTTGTTCCTGATTCCAGTGTGTCGTGGCACAAAGACTTTATGCCCATATCGGCATACGGTAAGTCAGATCTTTTAGGAGGCGGGTTGTTTCGACCTTCAGACTGCCAGGCACTGCCAACCCGAGCTCTCAACGACGCAATATGGTCGCTTTTAAGGACAAGGGAGCTATCCCGAAAAATGCTTTTTTGAGAAAATCGAAGGTAAAGTTTTTGCACCTTGTTCAGTTTCTTTAAAAGGCAAGGAGAGTTTTCTCTATAACCAAACAAATATCCACACCAATGAAACCAAACTTCTCCAATAGGTGGGTCAATGCCCACTTTAGGTGTAGGTCAAGATTTCAAGAAATCCCCGAAATCTGGGTTAGGCCGCTGGTCCTTAAAAGGGACCATATAACATCTAAGAAGAAAAAAAGAGAAACTTTTTTTTTTACATTTGAAAAAAAATAATTTTAAACCCTCCCAAAAAACTTCACTACTCGGGACTCGTGAATCGAACTCTAGTCTTCTGCGTACAACAACAACTAAGACCCTAATCGCTACACCGCAGACGCCGGTCAGGACAGTTCAAGAGAAAAGTGTAAGAGATAATCAAAGACACAATAAAGGGTTAACTAGTTTAACCCGTACCATAAAGACTCTACTCAGATTCGAACCAAACCAGTTGTTTGTACAGCGAGAAGGCAGCTATATATAGCCTCAGCGCCCGGTATTTGTTTCTGAATCTTTTCACAAGACTGATATCATAACACAAGAGATGAAGAGATACAGGCTGCACACACTAGGAGTAAGCGAAACACACTGGAAAGTTTTGGGTTGGAATCCACAGGATAAGAGATCAAGGGGAAGACCGCCTGGAACCTGGAGAAGAATCACAGAGGTCGACGTACAGAAAAGTGGGAAGACATGGAATAAAATCAAGAGGCTAGTCCAGGATAGAGAAAGGTGGAAGGTGTTTGTCTGTGGTCTATACCCTGGTGCAGGGTGAGAAAGGCAATGATGATGATGATGATGATGATATCATAACGCCATGAGACGAAATAGATCAAACAAA